CTGTATATTACTGGTTAATTATACTCACTGGTTATAATTAATTATATGGTTAATTATAACCACTGGTTATAATTAACTATATGGTTAATTATAACCAGTGGTTATAATTAACCATATGGTTATAATTAACCAGTGGCACAAGTTAAAATTGTTCTAATATTATTATAATTTTCTTTAGTCATAATTTTAACAAGTTTTACAATAATTTTGTTAGATATAAATAGTTGCAAATATTGCGAAAGCTGTAAATATATATCAAGTAATATAAATTTTAAAAATACAAAAATATCTAAAAGATACGATTGTTATGCAAATTGTGAATTAGCAAAACAATGTTGTTTGTTTATCTATTTTATATGCTGATTGTTAATCTATTTTAGATGTTGATTGTTATTTTCTATTTATATTTATGTATTTATTTCATCTTGTAATTTTCTCGTATTTCATTTTATTATTAGAATTTTATATTTACTTCTATTAAAAATTTATTTATTACATTTAATTCTAAAATATTATACAATATATTTAATTAATTTTTGATATATAATTCTACTGCAGATATATGTATATTTAGTTATTGGTATAAACAAATAAAAATTAACATAATGAATTAACTACTTAAAAAACAATAATATATAAAATTAATTTATATTTAATAATTTTGCATTTTTTTAAAATAATTGTATAGACAATATTTAAAGTTATTATAATGAATTAAATACTTTAAAAACAAAATTAACATATTAATTTTATATACAAATTATCCATTAATTAGTTTTTTAAAGTTACTAATATACTGTATATTTCTGAAAATAAACTACCTCCAATAATAAGCTACCTTCCTTTTTTAAAAAAAAAATGTAAAAATGTCTTATACTTGAAAATAAGCTACAATACGATCGTTAGTAGATACTCTATAGTAAAGTCAAAATTTTACTAAGTAAATCAATATAGCTTATTAAGTGAAAGTTGTTCAAGAGATCAAAATACATATATTTTGAAAGTTTTATCTAAATTGGATAACTTTTTATTAATGTTTTTGCATGTTACGTTCGACGAATTTTGTAAAATTTCTTTAATATATTGAACGTAAAAATCAAAAGTCAATTAATAAAAAGTTATCTGATTTATATGAAACTTAAAATATATGTATTTTGATTTCCTGAACAACTTTCACTTAATACAGTCAGAGAATATATCTAATTAGGATAACGTAGATTGCTCCTTTTATAGCAACAAAATATCGATCAGACTATTTTAAATTCCTTTTGACTTTTCTATATATGATCATTAGCTCTGTGTGACTAGCTAATAAAATTCTAAAAATTTTATTACTATACATTAGTACGTACGTATGTACATACAGTACAATGCTTTTATCTTCAGCAATGGGGATTTAGATTTCATACACTGATATTGTTTTATCGATTGAATAGAACATTAAAGACAAATCACCATTTATTGATATAGATTCAAGCAGACTTAAAGTAAATTATATGGGTAATATGAAAATGAGAAATCTTGCAGAAACATATTTATTTGATGCGCTACTGTAATCATTGGTATTTAAAGCATATCGTTATAATCTTTTAGTTTATTAAAAAAATCTTTTAATTAAAGATCCTGATGACTATAAAGCTACTATCATTCGAAGGTTTTTTCATTCAAAGAATAATTGATAACCAACTGGCTCGCTATCATGACCCTCTTATTTTAGTAAGAGGTCAAGAAACTTACTATATATTGCTGCATAGAGTACCCTCTAGAATAGTATCTCTTTTTTTTTACAAGCGATTTGTGGTCTAGTTTCTATGATTAATAGTACGGACTTTTTATTGGGTTTGTTATGTTTAATAGCAAAGTATATAGTGATTAGTAATGCTTATTTGTATTATCTTTCTATCTCTTGATATTTGAGAAGTATTATTTAATCTAGACTGGCTTTTTTGTAAAATACATGAAGTCAGTAATAGGTTTGGGACAGTTGGGATATGCGTTGAGATATTTTGAGATATTTTAGAACATTTTTATAAATTAAAATTACTTAAAATTTTATTAAAATAACTTACTTTAATTTTTTTAAAAATATATTTGATACTTAACAAAATATATAATTGTATATTTTTTAATTTAATTTATTAATTATTAAAACTTGGAACTTAGGATATTTTGGAATACTAGAACATTAGGACGTTGGGACATAGCAAAAAATCTAGAATACTGTCTGAACTCATCACTACCCAGGTACTGTATGTAGCGCTATACAGTATGAGGCCCGCTATGGTACTTGCTATATTATTTGAAAAGAAAATATGCAAAATAATCAATCTAATTTATTGCCAAGAAGCAAAAATAATCATTGCTAGTAGAAGCGGAACCGGCAAAATGACAGTAGAAAATTTACTAGTCCAGGTCTCAAATAAGCCAAAACATTAAACTCTTTAAATAAATTTATCAGAATATTTAAAATTTCCACAATTTTCTTGACAGACTGTTTTATTTCAAAGTTTAAAAGCTTGAATAGCTTTATATAAAGTCTTATTTTCCAAAACAGTTAGATTGCTTTTTCATCAATTGCTTTTTAACTTAGGAGCTGTTTTCGTTGCCAAAGTTTACTTTTACTGACCTGTCTTGTGATCTAAGCCTAATACAAGAATATAGAATGTCTTTAAAATTGCTATATAGATAGTATACAATTCTTTAAAATATTTAAATTTCTGTCTATTCGTTTTAAAAAATATAACTTTTAATTTTAAAAGTTGGTTATCTAAGTTAATTCTATTTTTAGTATACACTATTTTCTCCCTAAAATTTAGATAGCATCCAACTATATCACTAGTCATATATTCAAGAGGATATATAATATATTGCTTTCTGAACAAAAAGAATATCTATCATTACCATGATAGTTACACCCCATATTTTATTTGCCTTATATTCCTGATCTAAGGGATATGATAAAAATTAATATAAAAATTTGCTATTACCAGATATAAACAATCAGGAAAAAAAAAAAGCAATTTAGTTTCTACCCTTGATATATTTGTTGTAAGTGAAAATGGAATTAAGTAAATTCAGAATTTCTAAGTTAAATTAAAGTGTATATATAATAAAATCAACTCCAAAATTCTGGGTTTATAAAAAATTCTGTTTCTACTTAATTCAGCTTCTATTTACAACATACATACTTAGTCGGTTTATCTCACTGAGAATGCTTATGTCTTTCAAAATACTTATTGGCATAGAAAATTAATACCTGACCCCCAAGATTATTTAGACTTACAGAAGCTTTTACACAAAAGGCAGGCTCCAGAAAAGGATGAAAAATTGGTATTACCCTCAAATATTCTACTAAAATTTGCTATAATAGATTATTTAGTAAATTATTAAGCTAAATACTCTATAGTTATGCCAAAAGCCTTTTCGCAAAGGTAAAAAGCTTAAAAGCATATAATTGCGAGCAAGATTACTTTCTTACCTTTTAGCTTGTGTGTAAAAAATTCATAGATTTCGGTTCTTATTTACTTTTTTAACAAGCATTAACTTTGTGGATTATTGTGAATTATTTAAACTAAAGGTTTTATATTGTCTACTTGTATATTTATTTTTGGATTTCCAATAATGAATTAGAAGAATAAAAAATTTTTAAAAAATGCTAACAAAAAAGTGCACAAGAGCTAATCAAATTTGAGAATTGATGTGTAGATCATTCTAGAACCTGATTTTCTAATTTGGTATATCCTCTGACTGTAATAAGCATGGTTGATTTATTTAATAAAAATTTTCGCAATTAGCAAAAAATATCTTTATCCAATAATAAGCTACTCACAAAATTTTTGTATAACTTTTTGGCTAAAAATAGTAGTTATTTTCGAACATATACAATATATTAAAATTTTATTAATAAATTAATATATATTCTAGGGGAATTTACATATAGGGGCCCGAAAAGTGAAAATAGTTACAAATAAGGGCCCAAATTGAAAATAATTACATATAAGGGCCTGATATTTAAAAAATATTACCCAAAACATTGATTATGGAAAAAAAGTTTTAGAAGAAATAAATATATGTAAAATTATTAAAAATATATAATTTTAGAATCAATATACTAAATAA